CTTTTCTCTTGATAACAACAACTCCACACTCCCTTAGTTTTCCCTGACCTCACCAGCCACTTGACCTCTTTTGGTTTGCTTAACATCCGCATGTTGGAGGGACCTGGGGCTCTTTTCTGTTGACTCTCTTTTCCTAGGTGATCTCATACGGTGTCAAAGCTTTCAACATCATCTCTGTTTCCATTACTCACATTTCCATCCCTGGCTCTCATATACCCAACTGCTCCAGACTCACAATTGCTTACTTGACATTTCCATTTGAATACTTACTAAGCATACTTTAAAGCTTAAAGCAGAACACTTGATTCTTCCCCTCCTCCCCCCACAAAAAAACATATTTTTCCTGTATTCTTTCCCATTCAGTAAATCTCTACCCATGGTTCAATCTGGGTCCCTAAAAGCCAGCCTCAATGCCTCCTTACCCCTCACCATTCATATCCAATTCATCTGCTGCTCAGATGGCTTCCAAAACAGTTTCCAAATCAGCCCGCTTCTCTCCATCACTACCGATGTCTAAGCCACCATAATCTTCTTGGGTTAACTCAACAGCCTCCCTACTGGCTTTTCTGCTTTCAATCTTATCTCCACCACCACATCTTAACTCATTCTGTACTGCAAGACTGATTTTCTAAAAATTCAGATCATGTCTATCGATGACCTCCCATTCTTTAAAATACAACAACAGTCAAGAAATAATAATAAAAAACTTCTTACCAAGGTCTACAAGATCATACCACTTGGTTACCGCCTAGCTCACTGACTTCATCCACCAGGTTCATTCTGCTCCAGTCCCACTACTTGCTGTTATTTAAACACACCACACACATCTCTACCTCAGGGCCTTTGTACTTGCTGTTCCCATTGTCAGGAAAGTTCCACCTCCACTTCTTCATATGGCTGGCTCCTTTTCCTCATTTGGGTCTCAGCTTAAATGTCAACTTCACAGCACAACCTTCCTTAATCATAAATCCAAATGAATCACCTACACTACCCCAGTCAGCCTCTATCACATTACCCCATTTTATTCTTGTAATGCTTATTAATACACAAAATTAGCTTGTTCTTTCATTTGTTTACCAGTACCAGCTGACATCAAGTTAACTCCAACTCATGGTGACCTTACACGTGTCAAAGTTGAACTTTGGTTCACAGGGTTTTCAATGGCTGATTTTCCAGAAGAAGATCACCAGGCCTTTCTTCTTAGGTGCCTCTGAGTGGACCTGAACCTTCAACGTTTTGGGGCTCCCTTTTGATTAGAAGCCAAGCGCATTAATCATTTGCACTACTCAGGGACTCCTTCATTTGTTTTCTTCTTTATTATTCATCTCCCTCAACTAGAAAACATTCCTCCACTAGATCAGGGATGAGTCTTGTCCACTGCTCTCTTCCAAGTGCTTAGAACAGTGCCTGGGACATGGCAGACACCCAATAAGTATTTGCTGAATGAATGAATAAACCATAGACATAAAATACAGAAAGTTACCATTTAGAAAACACTAATGAAGAAGCAAATAAAAAAAAAATTTCTAGGTCAGCACAATTATCATTTAATATAAGAACACTAAAAATATGAAATCTGAAGCTCATATGTGGACTATCAAAACAAAACTAAAATGAGATACACTTTAGTCATTCCCAGTGAACTATAATTTGGCTAAGAGATGCAAAACAAAATCTGCTTCCAGCTTAGTCCCACTAGTCTTTGACCAGATAAATCACTGTCTATAGCACTCTGGGGCATGAATGACATCTGGGAATTAATATACCCTTTGATGTTAAAAGAAATTGCTCTTACTAAGTCACATCCAGCATTGAACCCAAATAAACATATGACAAACATATTTTTCTCTCAGTGTTATCTTCTAAACAATCAGAGTGAACAGGCCAAAACAGGATTTTAGCAGCAGGTTCTGTACGACTAGATTGGACACTTCCAAGTAATTTTAAGGGACTGGTCTTTTGTTCTTATTTACTTTTGTCTCTTCCAGAGCTTGTACGACGTATTTAAAACATTTACCCAGTTTTAAAACTTTCTGGTTTTCATCAAAGAGTAAGATTTGATTGGCATGAATATATGTTCTGTGAACCATAAACCTGATCTTTACCCTCTTGTACTGCATAAAATGTTGAAAATGACCTATTAACTTTACCCAGCTGTAGCTACCACAGTTTAGCTATATAACTCAAATTTCCCCACTTCTGTTAAAGAATTCCCAAAATTTGGTTTTAATTGCCAAGATGTTGGCTTATTCACATGATCCAGGTCTACAATATGATGAGACTCTAAACAGTCTCCTTGCTTATTCTTGTGGACAACTTAGACACATATCCCTAGCCTAAAAAAAATTCCTTAATAACAACAATGTTCCTTAATATTTTCAAGCCTATGCCCCCTTTTGATGATCATAAAAAATTTACATTGACCTAATGTAATATCTATGAGAAACAGGGGTAACTCTCTACTGCCAACTTTATTGACATATGTAAGTTATATACAACAGAATGTACTCATGTAACAACCACCACAATCAAGAAATTGGAACCTTTTCCATCAACCCAAAAGTTCCTTCAGGCCCCTTTGCCATCACCCTACCACCACAGAGACACACATACTAGCTGCAAGCAACCCTGATCTGTTTTCTGTCACTACAGATTAGATTTGCTTCTTCTAGAACATCCTATAAATGAAATCACACAGCATATACCCTTTTGTGTATGGCTTCTTTCACTCAGCAGAATGTTTCTGAGGTCCATCCAAGTTGCTTCTATCAGTAGTTTGTTTGTTTTTTATTGTTGCACAGTATTCCGTTGTATGGATATACCATAATTCGTTCATCCATCACCACTTGGTAAATATTTGGTTGTTTCTAGTTTTTGCTATTATGACTAAAGCTGCTAGGAACATTCATTTGCAAGTCTTTGTGTAGATGTAAGTTTTCATTTCTCTTGAGAAAGCACCTAAGAGTGAAATTTCTAGGGTCATTTGGCAAGTGTATGTTTAACTTTATGAGAATGTGACAAACAGTTCCTCTAACTATACTAAAAATTATTATTTATTTTGCTTTCCAAATATAAAACTTTACTATTGAAATTTCCAGATTCTACACACTAGTTTCTCTTCTCTGCCTCACAAATGTTAATATGTTCTTCCCCATCTCCATGGAAGTTCAGTGTATTGGAGCCATCCCACAATGGGGCTAAAGAGAAGTTGCCATGTACAGCATTTTTTATGTGAAATACAGAATTAATTAGAAGGAAGGTTCCCTTAACAGAGCTCCATGTGGGTAACACGGGCTAACAAATTTGGTGAGAAAGATGTAACTCTCTCTAATAGGGTTTATAGGTAGTATATTCTCCCATATAAGATGTTACGGATGATTTTCCTCAGGCACCCTTTCTATGAAAGATTCCAGAGATCCCATTCTCCTGCCACAGTTTCATGGGGCCCTTCCCTATGAGATAACAACTGAAGGTGTCCATTAGGCCACCTCATCCACAGGAGGCTGAATGGGAGAAAGAAATGGAGCTATCACTCGAAGCTCTTCAGACTAGGATTTCTCCCAGTAATCCAGATAGATCAAGTCTTGCAGGAAAGTAGGACACTGAGGGCTGAAAGAAATGCTTTGATTAAACTATTCATTCCAGTTTGGAAATGAAAAACTACCACCCATAAATAAAAGCACTGGCAATTCCTTTCCAGATTTCTTTTGTCTGATTCATAAGTAGAGGCAAAGTCTGTTATGACTATGAAATATAAAAAGCCACAGAACTTTTACAGTCAAATAATCTTGTCCTCTTCAAGCCATTAGCTTGAGAGCCTACATATTTATTCTAACGATGCTATTAATTTTCTGCAAAATCGGTCCCAATTCTCCACTCCTCCATGCATTCACATCCTTTGCAGCTCCACTCATAAGAGGTGGCGTCTACTTCCCCATCTCTTGAACCCAGGCTAGTCTGTGGCTTGCTTTCGCAACAGAATGTGGCAGAAATGATGGCGTGTGCTTTTCCTCTCTCTCTCCCTTGTAGTACTTTGCTCTGAAAAAGCTCAAACTATCTGCTGGAGGACAAGAGACACATGAAGAAGAAATGAGTCAACCCAGCTAAGGCCATCCTAGGCTAGACAGTCCTCAGCATACCCAGCAACTGACCAAAGACATTCAAGTGAGCCCAATGGAGATCAACAGAACTTCCCAGCCAAAGTCAGCCCAAATTGCCAACCCACCAAATTAGCCAAGTAAGTGGTTGTTCTTTGAAGCTTCTACATTTTGGGATAGTCTTTTATGCAGAAAAAGCTAACTGATACATTGATCATATGGGGAGTTACCTTCTTTCCCGTTAAGAGTCTCAGATTATATCTACAGATTCTCCTTCCACAACTTTTCTTTGCTCCTCGTAGCCTTGAGTTCTGACTCATTTTTCTGGCTCTTACTTCCTACTTTATCTATGCTCTCTTTGCCTTCCACACTGCCTGTGAAAAAAAGGGCAATAAGTTTTCCAACTTTTTTCTTCTGATAAGCCCTCTGATGATTCCTTTCTTAAGTCTTCAAAAGATACACACACACACACACATATATATATATACAAAGTAGCAAAAATGGGTAATTTGTGTTTATATATATATACACACACACACACATATATAAACACAAATTACCCATATATATATATATATAAATACAAATTACCCATTTTTGCTATTTAAGAAACCGAAATATGTTAAATGGCATCAGACAAGGTAAAAAATAAGCTTACCGATTTGGGGGAAGATACATAAAATAAGGAGGTAAGACTTCCACCTCCAATGCCACCCTGAGAGCGACCCCTTGCTAAGAGCTTCATATGTCTCCTGCATCATGTATTATAGTCACTGGCCTCTCCATCGCATGATAACCTCCATGAACAGTACTGAGCACATGAAGGGGGCATGTGCCCTTTTGCTGGTTGCACAGCATCTCTTTCTTTGTTCAGTTTTGAGGCTGAAAATCATCCATACCTACCCTCTAAATTGATTTGAAAGCCCATATCCAAGTAGAGGGGTTTCTTTTTTAACCTACTTAATAGGATTTTCCTGTTGCTAGTCCTTCAACTCTTGTCAGGAAACATGTCATAGTTCACAGAGCCTCACCATGGATGAATTAAGCAGCAGGAGGAATCACTGTAGGTTGTGTAATTTTTTACAGGTAGCCAACACTGCCCCTGGAAATTCTAAAAAAAAAAGGCAGATCAGTAGAGTAAATCTTTAAGAACTACCCCCTTTCTTAGATTTAATTAAAACAGTGGCTATTATTTTTTGTGCACGTACTATGTACTGGTCAGTCTCTAAGAGCACAAGGTGTTCTTTGTTTTGTTGTTGCTGTTGGCTGTTTGCATTGGATGAGAATTTGATCCTCACAGCAATGCCATAAGCCCTTGTCAAGCCTTGAAGAACAAGCCATTCTGACCACAGTCAGAAGTAAGTTCCGGCTAGCTCCCGAGTCAGGCCAGGGACATCTGTCAGATCCCTCCAGGATCTGCTCTTGGTCTTCTCTCAGGCTCAGCCTCCCCGCCAGGCCCCCTGCCCAGAGAGGGCTGCATTTCCAGACACTCCAGTTCAGCTTTATAATCCATGAAGGTCTCCAGATCTCTCGTCTAACTGTCCTCCCCAAAACCTTTTCCTCAAACCTGGCCCCTGCTGAGGACAGCATGGCCCTCTCCTGTACACAAAGAAGCTTCTCTCAGCCCACAGAGGTCCTGCATGGGCCCCAAGTTACCTTTTCCACCCTGGTATATGGCCTTGGGAGCCGTGGTGGCACAGTGGTTAAGAGCTATGGCTGCTAATCAAAAGTTCAGCAGTTGGAATCCACCAATCGCTCCTTGGAAGCCCTATGGGGCAGTTCTACTCTGTCCTACAGGGTCGCTGTGAGTTGGAATCAACTCAACAGCAACAGGTTTGTTTTCTTTTGTTATATGGCCCTGGGTCTTCTTCCCTGACCCATTTCCTGGGGCCCTGTTTAATGTGTCTAATCCAAGCAGCTCTGTCCTTACAGTTATTTGATATTTTAACTTGGTACTTCAGGCTTGTAAGTGTTTAACACAGATACACAGAGACTCACATAAACACACACATATATCTGCCTCTAACTGCATTTTAATGAGGGTTAGCAGAAAACACATGTCTCTTTCTCAAACCTCTTTTTCCCATTTGAAAGTGGCTATGGGTTAATGTCATTTTCTCCTACCCCTCAAACCAGTCTCTCAGCTTCAATTAGATGAGGACTCTAAGAGCCATCTGGAAATGCTTAAAGAGCAGTTTCTAAGGATTCAAAGTAAAGGGTTCCTCCTCAAAGGAAAATCCCACATAGTCCCTGCCACCCTCAAAGGAATGGATCAGAGGTTAAACATGCTGTAAACAAATGTGACTCATCCCAGCAACTGATCCTGGCAAAGTCACCTGCACTCCTCCTTGCTCTGTCTCTTCACCTTTTCACTTTCTCACTTGTCCCTGATATTGGTGCCTGTGTTACAACTTTTTTAATATAACAAACGGGCATTTTTTATTGCTTATATAATTGAAGTCAACGACTCATACACTAGAACATATGCATAAAGTAGGGAACAATGTCTAGTTGTCACAGCAAATGAGAAGGTTGTGCATTTTTTCTTCCCCAAAAGGTTCCCTCAACATGGTTCCTTGGAATTCTGATGAGCAGCTTTAACCCAACAGCCTGGTCACTGGCTTTGCTTTGAATTCCACCAATGCAGCTCCTGTCAACCGGGATGACCTTAAACAAGAGAAGCCTTTGGATTCTAGTATACCTAAAATAATCCCACACACAACCACCTGGCTATTCATTGGGGTTGCTGCTTTATCCCAAGGTGCAATACTGCAATTCAAGAATCACTCCAGGACAAAAGGATAATAAAAGCAGAGGGAGGAAGAAATGACAAGGCAAAATTGCACAGGTCTTCAAGTAAGACTGAAGCCACTGTGAAGGGTAGAATGACCACCAGGAAAGGCACTGGTGCTGATGAACGCAGAAGGAGGGAAGAAGAGAAACAGTGTGAACACCTAGAAAAGGGATGTTTCTGAGACAGAGATGGTCTTCATACCAGAAGGGTAGCATTTGTATAGTCTAGAATCCACAGAAAGGTAACTCTGTAAAGTCCCAGAGGGCAGAGCATCATTAGACAGGACAAGGGATCAAACATAAGGACAACAAGGTTCTGGATTTCTTCAATGTCAAGTCTTTGCAGGCCCTTTATCCCTTTACATTTGCACAGAAGAAGGAGCAGAAGGCTACAAAAGAGAAGAAAGAGGTTGGTTAACTAGAAACTTGTCCGAGCCTCTTGAAACAACCTTGTTTTATATAAACATGCTTGGCAAAGGATAGGAATGGAAAATGGGAATGAACATACTGAGTATTTACAAGAAGACATGTCCTATAGATACATAATCTCCTTGTAAATACTCCCAACAAACCAATGAAATAGGTGACACTGTGTTCATTTTACAGATGGGAAAACCAAGGCCCCACACTTTAGCGCTCACATTCTTCCCGCCACACGATGATGCATCCAGCTAGGTGAGAAACTGTAAAAGGCATCAAGAGCATCACTTAGTTTTTCAATAAACTTCTCATTGCTTGAGGGAAGTTGGTTTGACTTCTACTTTTCTATTAGCACAATCAGGTCTCTTTAACTTATCTCACCACCATCCGGCAGCTTGTCGTAATGTGGTGGCTTGCATGCTGCCATGATGCTGGAAGCTATGGCATCAGTATTTCAAACACTACCAGGGTCACCCATGGTGGACAGGTTTCAGTGGCACTTCCAGACTAAGACAGATTGGAAGAAAGGCCTGATGATCTACTTCCAAAAATTAGCGAATGAAAACCTTTGGATCACAACGGAAAACTGTCCAATATAGTGCTGGAAGATGAGCCCCCTAGGTTGGAAGGCACTACACAATACAACAATGGACTCAAACATACAAAAAACCATGAAGACAGCTCAGGTTTGGGTAATGTTTCATTCTGTGATACATACAGTCGCCATGATTTGGAGCTGAGCTGACGGCAACAAACAACATAACTGCAAATGCAAAATGTACCGCACCTATCCAAATTCTAGACCACTGTATTTTACTTGTGGAGTATAAAAGACGCTATCTTGTATCAGTTTCTTGTGGTTTATTTTTCATGAGAGAATGGCTTCCTCCCAGCGACCTGAACGCTCACTGCAAACCCCAAGTCGTCCAGTCACACAGGGTCAGTAGATCATGCCAGCCCTTTCACCAGTACACCCACCAGAGCATTCCTCCAGCTGCTCTCTTCCTGCTTTTGTGACACTTGATTCCCCCACAGGCCTCAAGATACGGAAAGGAAGGAAGCAGCTGATCTGCGAGGTGGTTGCAGCCCAAGGTCCCTGGCTGATTCCTCTCCTGGGAGGGTTTGTTTTAGTCCTCGGCCCTCAGCAAGCTGCCCTTTGCCACCTGAGGACACCAAAGACAAAGCACAGCTTCTCTTTTCATTTCAGAAAAGTAGTTAAGGACTTTTCAAATGTAACAATTTCTACTGGCTTTAACCGTTTTATTGATGTAGCCCAAAAAAAAAAAAAAAGTATAAAGGAACTTAACTGAATTTTTTAACTTTTCTCCTCCCTTTCTGCAGAAACAGAGAAAATAAAGTAAACATTTCCCATTGCTAGGGGCTGGTGGTAGAATTCATATTTCAGGTCTGGAAGTGGGAGTGTATGGAACACGTGAGGGGACAAGAAATCTTGTCTTTGGAATGAGAAGTTCTTGCTATCACCACTGCAAGAGCCCTTGAGAAATGACAGAAAAGCCACTTCAACACAGTTACGGCTTAAACAGTAGTGTACTCATAAGCAACACGGGAGAAGCCCAGTTAGAAGAAACTCAGAAATATAATGGCGACCGCTAAAATTTTAGATTGTTTTTCTATACTGAACTGTTAGAACCTTTACAGTTTCTTCAAACCTCAAGGGGAAATTAAAGGTGGAACAAATAATGCCATTAATAAGAACTTTTAAAAGTTGGACAAAAAAACAGGACAAGACTTAACCATTTCCTAGAGAAGAAAGGTGACTTTTTTTTCTTCGAATATATCACACTTTAATTTTATGGTGAATGCTCTCCTTCTCCAACGTTTTATTTTAAAAATAAAGTTGAATGATTTTTTTTTTTTTTTTTTTTTTTTTTACTGTGAGTGTTCCTATACCCACCACCTAGAGTCTACAATTAACTTTTTTACTGTATTTGCGTTTTTTGATATCCAGTCCCTTATCCATCCCTCTATCCATCCATTAGGCCATCTTATTACTTTTTATGCATTTCAAAGTAAATAAGTGGCAGAAATCAGTATATTTCACCCTTAAACTCTTCCATTGATGGCAATTTAATCTTTTCTAGTTGAAGGTTGAGATTTTGTAAAAGAAAGGAAAGTAAGTGAGGTTTCAGGGTTCAAGTTGAGGTAAAAATTAGATTCTGGCAAGGGATGGAGCTCTTCCCATGAAAACCAGGAAGAATAGTATTTAGCAGAACACTGACCGTAGCGACTGTTGGGAAAGTTATCTTTCAAAAGTCATGGTGTTGGCACCACGCCCTTCCTTCCTCCTTCCAATCACTTTGGAAAGAGAAGGCCAGCTGGTCATGAAGAGCAAGAGATAGAACAACAGAAAGCCACCTAGAAATGCAAAGATTGTGGGGAAAACCCTGCTGTTGGCCAGGTGGAAAATTCTCTCTTCTGAGCCCCTTCTTTTTTCTGAAGAGGACATCCTTAGGTGGTAGAAATGTGCCCTTTTGGAATGAGGAATAAAGGCTTAGAGAATTCTTTCTCCCTTTTGTTTTTACTCCTGTCTCTCAATTTCTGCACAAAACGAGAAAGGGAGGTGGACATTTGGGTTTGGATTTATCCACTACTTGGCAAATGCTCCAATAATAAAGACTAAGTGAAAATAATGAAAAATAAATGGAAGGCCAGGGCTGGCCATTCAGGGTCTAAGCAGAAAACTTTAGATTTTCTATCCAGTCCAGCTTACCAGGTAAAGGAAGAAGAGTGAGTCATGGTGTAGAAGCATCCCCAGGAATTAATGGTGTGTTCATACTAGAGCATTCCCAGAGCACGGCTACATAGGGCAGGATGCAGCAGAGCAGTGGCAGCAGAGAGGGACTCTGTGGCAGGCAGTATTTTCCAAAAATACCTGCAACATTCTACTCTTACAATGAGACCTGAAAACTCCTTCCGTAGAGAGGTAGACTCTTCAGACCCCTGGAGACTCACTTGTAATCAAAAACATGTGATGAAAGCGATGCAGTGCAACATGACTTTCCAGGCCAAGTCATTACGTGATGCTTGTCAGCTGGAATCATCACACTGGAGCCCTAAGCCACCATGTAAGCAGTCCAACAGCCCACAAGCCACTATGCTGTGAGGAAACCCACATTTGCCTGTGAAAAGACGTGTCCCAGGATGAAAAATCTGAGACCATATGAAGAGAGACAGATGCCGAACCAGCTCCCAGCTGCTCCAGACGCTTGCTCTTCCAACTTCAGCCACCATCTGAGTGCAATCACATGAGACATCCCTAGCTAGAACCACATAGCAAGCCTTCCCCAAATTTCTGACCCACAGAAAAAGAGAGAGATAAAAAGGTGACTGTTGTTGTTTCAAGCTACTACGTTTTAGAGTAATTTCTTACACAACAACAGATAACCAGAACAGACCCCAGCGCATAAACTGGATCATGGTGATACCTCATTTCATAGACTGCAAAATCTAAGTCTTTGAGCTTGCTATCAGTTTGGCCAATAACTATCTTTCTCAACATGTACTTAGCACTCCAGCCTTATTAGTTTACATGCAAGTACTCAAATTTTTCTAGACTCTCCCCCTCCCCCCACATACATATCCATGTATGTTTTTCCATTGACGGAAATGACTTCCTTTCCTATTTAAAATCTTTCTACATTCTACCCTTCATTCAAGACCCACATTCTTCCAAACAGTCATCTTAGAATTATTTATTCATGAAAGTTATCAGTGACATCCTAGCTGCCAAACTCAATCATTTTAATCATAATTCTTGCCGAAACAAACAAAAAAAAAGTTGCTGTTCAGTTGATTCTGACTGATTGCGACCTTAAAGGACAGAGTGGAACTGCCCCATAGGGTTTCCAAGACTGTAATCTTTATGGAAGCACACTGTCACATCTTTCTCCTGGGGAGTGGCTGGTGGGTTCGAACCACCAACCTTTTAGTTAGCAGCTGAGTGCTTACCCACTGCACCATCAGGGCCCATTAATTCTTCCCTACAGGGCAGTAAATATAAAAATGGAAGCAGCAATGGCTCATCAAGGATAAATCACCTCATTTTCTTTTGTCAACAGTGCGGCCTCATTTCTCATTCCTCATTTCAGAAAACGTTCTTTTCTTTCTTTTAGTGAAACTAGAAAAAAGCTTTTGGTGTAACTGGTCTAAGGATTCCTCTTTGCCCAGAGTCACTCTGGAGCTAGAAATGTAAGGGTGAGGATAATTCATCACAAAATAGTCATTCTGTTGTCTATATAAGGATTTTCGATTTTAGGAGTTTGTTGCCTAACACTGATATAAGTTAAGTTGAATGTGACATAAATATGCCTGATCAAGATAAACCTTATGCCATTATGGTAAGAATTAAAATATATTCTGAATGCCTATTGCAGGCATAATATATGTAAAAGAACACGTAGAACTAACGTACAGTCAGGACTGGTCACTGTTGGAATCATGGGGAAACAAGGCAGACATTCAAGACAAAACCAGAAGAGTTCAGGTTCCAGGTTCTAGATGTTTCTAATTTTGAGTATGGGAAGACATAAAAGAATCAGACTTCAGTTTAGCATATATTTAAAAAAAAAAAAAAAACTCTCACAATTCAAAATATCGAAAACTTGAAGAGTGCTAGAAGCAAAATGTTTTTATTTTTAGAGGGATGGAGAGAAATTTAGAAAACATTCTCTCTTTGGGAGGAGGGCAAAACTACAGCAAAGAATAAACCAAGTGACATTGGGACGCTAAATCCAATTACACTGTATTAGGTGTGCTGATGGGAGAGGAGCCACATATTATGTTTGCTAAGGACTCATTGCCATTCAAGGTCTTTGTTAAATCAAGCGCACAACATTTATACCACTTAATATGGAAGAATTTATTCTCTGCACTTAAAATATTTTAAAAATAACTTCTAAGCTCTCTCTCTCTTTTTTTTTTGGACTCTTAAATCAGTGTTTATATTCACTAAGCAAGTAATTCTTCATAGGAACCAGCTGATGAAAAAAATGACCTATTTAAGGACAATACAACTATCACAGAGGGAAAGTAGAGAGTCCAGAAAAAATATAATGAAGGAGTACAAAGCAGATGATGTGTCTACAATGAATTAAAGTCCCTACAGAATTATTCAGCCCCAACTCCGTTGTCTACCAAGACATGGTTTATGAGTCATCCTCAGGGAGTCATAAAATATAGTTCACTTGACTAAAAATAGGTAGGAACATTCAATAACAAATCTACTTTCTTGATATTCTCGTGTCATCATTAAATACTGATTACTTGGAAGAGTGTCGGGCTGTGTGTCTCTTCCCTCTCTTCACAGAAAAGCCGGAAGAAAATCAGCCACAGGCACTGCTGAAAGATAATGAGGTGCTGGATGTGACATGCAACACGCTGAAGAAAACAACACTGCTTTTAAACGCCTGGGACCTAGAGTTCGCCTATCTGGAGGAACAGGAAGGTAGCTAGTTATCTTTTTCATGTGATCACTACAAAATGATTTCCTGTCCCTGGAGTAAGAGATGATACATAGCCCATTTCTTTTTTAACTTATAACAGCAATTAGAAAACAACAATTCGATTAAAGGGCCAGAAAAGAACAGTCTCTAGGATTCTCGCTGTAGAACAAACTTCGGGAAGTTATAGTTTATAAAGAAAAAGAGTCCATCATCTAAAGATATTTCTGGTTCCCATTTTAGCATGTATATAAAGGTTTGTAGAATGGAACTTTAGGAGTATTGAAAGAATTTATTCACATCATCCCACAGGTAGTTCCCATAAAATGAAGGATTCTAGCTGAAAATGAACATAATTTTAGTATTTCATGTCAGTGGGAATCTTCCTAAACAAAATCTGTATAGGACTGAAAATTAATCACATACATTTCTCCTCAGAAAGAATTGCAGAGAACAGTAACTTGAATAAAATCTGATGCTTTCTAAACCCAGGCAATGCTACCACAGACAGAAAGTAGAAAACCTAGCAAACAGTGAAATGCACACGACTGGTAGTGGAATGCAGAAATTCTAACCTAGAAAACGCTGGTAGATTATGATTAATGTCCCCCCCCCATCAAGGAAAACGTTTGCGAATCAATTTTGACAGACATTTCAAAGACAGAGGAGGGGCATCAGCATTAATGAAGGGATCCATCTTATGGATCGAAAGCTCTAGAACCCCACAATGGCAACTCTTCACGACAGGCAGCAGGGTACTCACCAGGCAGCTCACCAGGCAGCTAGGGAACAACTGCAAGTGATGTCTACTTAGTCAAGCTTGCAGCGCTGTCCTCTGTGAACCAAGCAGACACAGAGAAGAGAAGTCAATGTATAGGACTTCTAGAGTTCTCAAACAGAGAACACAATCTATAATATTAAAAAAAAAAAAAAACCAGAAAAATGCGTTCATAAATTAGTGACACATTTCTAAGCAGATGACAAAGGCATCCAGTCATAAAATCAGAAATATTACCCCTACATCCAGTCTACAGGGTGTATATACCCTCTCTTCTAAATGGCTAATCTACAATGCAATCTCTTAATCTGTCAAAATAAGCAGTAATTGAACAACAAGGCTATCTAAAGTGTTCTAGAAGTAAGTATGAATTGTCTTTTTTGGAAAAATACTATAATGTCCTCAGGTGAACTGTAACTGCAAAAAAAAAAAAAAGGACCTTTCAAAGAAGATCAGTGCTGAATAGGAAAGATTTACAACGAAATTGTATTTACAAAAAGTCGTAAGGAGCCCTGAAGGTACAGTTAAGCGCTCGGCCGCTAACAAAAAGATTGGTGATTTGAACCCACCCCATGGCTCCACAGGAGAAAGACCTGGTGATCTGCTTCTGTAAAGATTACAGCCAAGAAAACTCTGTGGGGAAGTTCTAGTCTGTCATATGGGGTCACTATGAGTCGAAAATGATTCGACAGTATCCAACAACAAAAAGTCACTATTTTAGATGTAAGTTTTTTGTATTATCTATGTTAATAAGTTGTTTATGTAGATTCTGGATTTGACATTGGATTTCTGGTTTAGCCAAAATTCAGATTCAGCATTTTTCCAAGATGTTAAAAAAAAAAAAAGTTTCCGTCAAGTTGATTCTGACTCATGGTGACCCCGTGTGTGTAAGAGTGGAATTGTGCTCCATAAGGTTTTCAATGGCTGATTTTTCAGAAGTAGACTGCTAGCCCTTTCTTCCGAGATGCCTCTGGGTAGACTTGAACCTCCAACCTTTCAGAAAGCACAGAGCTCACATTAACTACTTGCACCAGCCAGGACCCCCTTCAAGATGTAGTGGGAAAAAAAAGTTCCAGGTGGTATCTGTAGTACACAGAAATAGGAGGAAGCCTATTTGCATTTGAGAAGGTGGAGGCAGAAAAATTGGCAATAGAGACATGGGGGAATAATGTCTGTAAAGTGTGAAAACCTTGGAACTGGTGAAGGCCACCATCTATGTATGGAGAGGTCTAGAGCCGAGTCCCTTAGTAAGGTCCCAGGTAACAATGGTGCTCTGCAATGCAAGACTAAATCCATTTTTTAAAAAGGAGCAAATCTGGGTCTACATGGATAGATGTGGAAAAAAACTCTCAGGTCATAGTATTAATTTTGAAAAATCTGAGTAGTATAGTAATAAACACACTATGATCCCATTGTGTTAAAACAAATCCCACAAATCTATATGTGAACACACAGACATGTGGAGAAAGAACAAGAAACTCTTGAGTGTGGCTACCCCTGGAGAACCAGAATTGAAAGGAGGTGAAAAAGGGGCATTTGGATTTTACTCTATACCCTTATACAAGATTTTACCATGAAATATATTACTTTTATCATTAAAATTGAAAAAAAAAGAACCCAATTCATCCCAAAACTTTCTACATACAGAAATGTTCCATTTCACATATACAGAACTAGAGATATATAGATCATATACACTGACTATACTGTTACAGTGAATATGTACTATGATTCAGATTCTAGGCATGAATTGCTTCATCTTATCTAATCCATATAAAAATCTAAAATGTATGTACTGCGACTACTCTCATCTTTTATAAGAGGAAACTGACAAGTTGGGTGAATAATCAAGAATCAGACAGAGCTGGTGTTCAAAGCCAGGGACCCTGACCCATGTTTAGCCCCTGGGTTACTGCCTCTTCCACAGCATTTAGCATATTTTCAATATTACATTTATATTTGTTAAGATGTATTAATATGAGACAGTAAGTTTCACCAGGACAGGGATTATGGATGCATTGAATACCATTGTGTATATCCCCAGCACCTAGCACCGTGTCTGGCACATAGTAAATGCTTCAATCAATCTTTGTTGAATGGATGAATAATGAAGTGGCCCACCTAGAGCTGGAAGTTAAATGACATAATTGATTTACACCTCTTGGGGCTATGAAACATGCAGGGTTCCGAACAGCTCATTAATTAAAGACCCTGCCATGCTCTTCACTTTGAGAAACCACTTGCTGCCCAAGCCTTTTTGTAACCAAAGACTTAAAAATCGGACATATGTTTTCCCTTCCCTCCTCTTATTCCCTAGTGACCATCCAGCATGAAGGTCTGCATTGTTCCCCAGACTTCTGTAATTATGTGCATGACTATAGCAACATTTAGAAAAGCCAGTGTTAAAATATTTAATGACAAGACATGAAGCAGTATAGGCAGTTCTCACAAATTATTTGGCTATTGGCACACGGTAGGCAAGCTATTGCAATTGATTTGATGGTGTAACTCAAAGCCTCAATGTACCAACTTTCTAACACTACTACTCTGGAATTAAAGGATATAAATGGGGTCTTTGGTAAAGGAGAGACTATATGCAAGAGTGTATGTGTGTGCTTCTGTGCGAATGTGTGTTTATGTGTGTCTCTGTCTGTATGTATTTGGTCTTTCAAAAGCAGATTTTTTTCCCATAGCATAGAAGGAAATCTAGTACTTAAATAAACAAAATCCCCGAATTCTAAAATTCTATTGGTGCTGGTAGTAATACGAGCTTTTTTTTTTTTTTTCCATTCAGCAAAGGAGTCAAGACCACTCAATGGGAATAACAGTCTCTGACACACTGCTGAGAGAACTGGACAGCCCTATGTAAAAGAACCTCAGACTATGAAGAAGTAACCACCTCAAAATGGGTCAGAGACCTAAATATAAGAAGTAAAACTATAAAACTTTTAGAAGAAAACACAGGAGTAAATCTTTGTGACCTTTGATTAGGCAATGGTTTCTTAGATGTGAAACTAAAAGCCCAAGGAACAAAAGAAAAGAAATGGGCTTCATCAGATTAAAAACTTCTGTGCTTCAAAGGACACCATCAGGAAAGTGAAAAGATAACCCAAAGAACAGGATAAAATTTTTTTGGCAATAATTTATCTGATGAGGGACTTGAAACCAGAAGTATATTAAGGACGCTTTCAACTCAACAGTAAAAAGGTAAATAACCTAATTTTAAAAATGGGCAGATGATCTTAATCATCCTTTCTTAAAAAGATTTTAAAATACATGAAAAGATGCTCAACATCATTAGCCATCAGGGAAATGCAAACCCAAATCACACCCACTAGGATAGCTATAATCAAAGACAGATAATAAGGTTCGACAAGAATGTGGAGAAATGGAAACCCTCGAAGATTGCTTGTGGAAATGTAAAATGGTACAGTAACTTTGGAAAACAGCCTGGCAGTTCCTCAAATGGTTAAACATAGAGTCATCACACAATCCAACAATTCCACTCCTAGGGATATACCTGCGAACAATGAAAATATATGTCCATACAAAAACTTGTAGTCATCTACAAGTATTCATATCAGCAGTATTCATAATAGCCAAAAAGTGGGAGCAATCCACATGTCCATCAATTGATAAATGGATAAACTAAATATGGTATATCCATAAAATGGAAAATTATTTGGCAATAAAAAGGAGTATAGTACTGATAAATGTGACAAAGTAGATGAATCTTAAAAAAATTATGCTGAGTAAAATAAGCCAGTTACAAAAGACCACATATTATATGATACCATTTATATGAAATGTTCAGAATGAGCAAATACAGAAACAGAAAGCAGATTAGTGATTGTCTAAGGCTGTGGGGAAAGGGAAGAATGGAGTGACTGCCAATGAGTCTGGAATTTCTTTTCAGGGTGATGAAAACATTATAAAATTAGACAGTGATGATGGTTGCAAAGCTCTGTAAATATACTAAAAACCACTGAACTGTACACTTTACAATTTTAGGTAGGTGAATTTTATGGTAGGTGAATTATATCTCATTAAAGCTTTTTTTTTTTTTAAAAAAAGCTGAATTTCAGTGCATTTGTCAGTAAATATTATTTGGTTTCTTTCTAAAAATGGCAAAGTATTAATTCATACTCCAAGAAAACACAGTAAGTGGTGAATATTTACTTTTTAAAAAACAAAACTTACTATTTTAGTTCTCATGGGATTGCTTGTGATAGCAAATACATAATTATGTTTTCACCCTTGCCAGAGAAGAGCACAAGTATGGAACTGCCTCCAAACCATAAGAAAGCCCCAACATCTCATGGCAGACCACCACCAGTGATGCCACAGTGTTTGAGATATGGTCTTATTTCAAAACAACAGAAACCTTTAGCCAAGGGTGAAGTTTTTATTTCTCAGTGGGTGCCAGGGAAAGGGGTCCTCCAAATATTTGAGGGTAACACTGCCAAGCTTGATGTTGTGGGTCTATATATTGAACACAAAAATCTTGGCATTTAATGGCCTCCCCAAGATCTTCACTATTGGGATTTTGTTTTCAAGAGAAGAATCACTGGGTAAAATTGAAGCCAGAGATCATTTCGCTCTGATACCCTACTGAATGTGGAAATTACTATTTTGAAAGGAATATTAAAGAGCAGTTGTGCCTGTTAGTTTGTGCAGCGTTAACAACCAACTCAAACCTTTGTATCTTAAACCAATAACCACTTCTCTTGGTCCACACGTGAGCTCAAGGTTCCAAGAATGACAAGAGGGCAGGCTCGATGAACAAGCACTGTTCAAGCCTCTGCCTGAATCCCATTTGCTTATGTATTATTGGGCAAAGCAGGTCACATGGTCAAGCCTAGATTCAAGAGATGAAGAAGAAGAGTCTCTTCTTGATGGGACATTGCACATTTCACATGCATGGATGCAGGGAGAAGACCTTGTAGCCATTTTTTCAATCGACCACAGCATGTTTCCCTAGGCGCAACAAACTCCCACCGAAGGTGGAGGACTTCCTCCAGTGGCGCCAACCACTCCAGGCTGCTACTTTCATCTAG